GCGTATCCAAGATGCCACTGTGATCTGTATCAAACTTGACAAAGATCTTGGCAAACTTGTCAATGCAAGTGCAGTTTGCAGCGACCTGCAGCCACTACATTTGGCTTGGATTCCTTCTGCCTATACAATGCATGTCGTCTCCCACCCTCATGTGTGACACCCTCCAGACCTAGCAAGAAGAGTGACAAGGAAGCCGCCTATGTCCTGGAAAACTACTGTAAAAGTGGAAGCGCCGAACTCCCAAGCCCTTGAACCCTTGAACCCCGAAACCCCACCTAAACCCTCATAGAGGGGGCTTAACAATTAGAATAGGGATTTAGGGGTTATTCTAGTCTATTAATAAAGGGACCATAAGGGAATACCACGAGTAATTATTCCGACCCCTATAGTACCTGATCCCTACTCTCTCTCTCTCTCTTTCTCTTTCTCTTTCTCTTTCTCTTTCTCTTTCTCCTTCTCTTTCTCTCTCTCTCTCTCTCTCTCTCTCTTCTTTCCATTTCTCTCCAATGCCCTGAAGCCTCGGCCTCGCGAAACGCGAAACCCGAAACCCTAAACCCCAAAACCTTAAACCCCAAACTAAACCCCTCAACCCTAAACCCTAAACCCTAAATCCCAAACCCTAAACCCTTACAGGATTCCCGGACTCCTTTAAACTCCAAGCACGAAGCCCAGCCTTCAAGCAAAATGCTCTTTGGCATGCGGAGCGATCCCGCCAGGTTAGGACAGCGGAGCACAGCTTCTCCATTTCTTGCCTTAGGGTTTAGGGTTTAGGGTTTAGGGTTTAGGGTTTAGGGTTTAGGGTTTAGGGTTTAGGGTTTAGGGTTTAGGGTTTAGGGTTTAGGGTTTAGGGTTTAGGGTTTAGGGTCTTTCTAGGGTCTAGGGTCTGGTCTAGGGTCTAGGGTCTAGGGTCTAGGGTCTAGGGTCTAGGGTCTAGGGTTTAGGGTTTAGGGTTTAGGGTTTAGGGTTTAGGGTTTAGGGTTTAGGGTTTAGGGTTTAGGGTTTAGGGTTTAAAGACGCCCGTACACTTCTTTTGCCCAGAAACAGTATCATGACACGGGTGTCCTTCTTGGGGTCGGTTAGTTTTACAAGGGAACCCACAACCAAAAAATGCGAAAGGGTATCACTGGGCCATAACCCAGGAGAACGAAGTTGAACTTGGGATCTGCATATTTGGCTTAAGCTGCATGACAAGAATGATGAAGTGAAAAGTGCCAAGATCGACATTCTCGGCGACCGGGCGACCGGGCGCCCTAACCCTAAACCTCAAACCTCAAATCCCAAACCCTAAACCTCAAACCTCAAACCCTAAACCCTGGCCGGGGCACTGGGTTAGCTCCTCCGCCTCTGGTACTTTCATCCAAGGGTTCTGAAGGCACTCCTGGCCGAAAGCCCAAGGGCGCCGGAGTGTCAGAGGGTTTAGGGTTTAGGATGGTTTAGGGTTTAGGGTTTAGGGTTTAGGAACTCAGGTCAGTGCCCAGAGATTTGGACCCTAAGCGCAGGAGTTGCAGGGCGGGTTTAGGGGGTTTAAGGTTTGTTTAGGGTTCAGCAAAAAGCCCTGCACGCAACGTGTGCGCCTTACTCCAATCTTGGCTGTGAAGCAACATGGTGTTATAGCGTTCTGCCGCCGGTCCCCACCCCCCCTCTAAACCCTAAACCCTGAACCCCAAACCCCCTCGGCCCCCACATCTGAAAGCCACAGGCAGTTTTGGGCCGACGGGGCTTAAACCTGGAGGCCCAGTTGACAATTAAGTGAATTTACCCTTAGGGTTCTACTGCTTGCTTGAGAACCCTCCGAAAAACACAACTGCTCTTCCTTATTCGGGTAATCTAGGGATCATCACTTTTCACTTTTTTAGGCGCTCTTAAACAAACAATAGGAGGGTCTGGTTTGGAGTTGGGATGTTCCCCCTTATATACAACAGTCCTTAATGGGGTATACTATGCTTTTGATAGGTGGATTCCGACTTACGGGCATGCTGGCTTTTTTTACAGGAGATCCTTGGGATCTCCGTCGTTTGGGGTTTCTGGACGTGATTTTCTTTTTAGAAAAGAGTTTGGGATGGTCCGAAGGGTTTACACCCTCCCCCCTTCTCGCAAGGCAGAGAGTTCGTGAATGGCCCTGCACCACCACAACCCCCCACCATTGCGTGGAACGACTCCTAAAACATGAACACACATTCCCGGGAACGCTTGCGTAAACTACGGGTGTTCCCAATTGTTTTTCTTAAAAAGTTGTTCTTGTTCAAACAACTTGTTGTTTTTGGCTCTTGGGGGTGATGGCAAACCCTCAACCCGAAAGCACACCGAAGCCACTCCTGCGCGGAAGGCCGCGCACTTTCTCGGAAAGTCAGGAGCATCTTGCACAAAGTCTTTGCTTCTGAGCTACATCTCAGAAGATCCCAATTCCTGAGATCCAGGGGTGGTGCGAGGCAGTTTAAAACACACCCCATCCGGTTCCCTTTTTTGTTGCACTCTCCTCTCTCTCCCTCTCACTCCCTCCCTCCCTCTCTTCTCACTCTCAGGAGCTCAGGAACTGTCAGGCCTGAACGACCGCAATGCTCTCGTGACTGTAATGCAAGTCTCTTCAGCGGCTGTGGCACTCTGACAAGAACCCTGAAAAGCCCTAAGCTCCTTAAGCCTCTCCGGCCGCCTAAGGCGTGAGAACCCCCGAAGCCCCTAAAGTCACTGCCAGTGCCTGCAGAGCTGCACGAGGTCAACTCGAGCGTTGCTGCATTGGGGTTGGGGATGGAGGTTTGGGGTTTGGTGCTTCCGCTCTGACAGTCGTAAGGGGCAGGTAAAGCTTCGAAGGTTCTCGGGTTTGGGGTTTGGGGTTTAGGGTTCAGGGCTGGGGAATGTCCCCAACTCGACAAGGGAACTGCCACCAACACCAGATCAGCACCTCTGCGCTCAAAACAATCGACAGAATCCCACATCCTCCAGGCGAGCGAGTGGTTTGGGCTGGCAGCTCCCCCCCACCCCGATCCCCCCACAATCCCAAACCCTAAACCCTAAACCCTAAACCCTAAGCCCTAAACCCTAAACCCTAAACCCCCAAAGCCTGCGCTCTTGGTGCCATCAAGCCTCGGGCCTTTGCTGTGGAGCTCCACCCACTTGGCCTGCTGTTTCGCAGCACCTTCGACCTGAGGGTTTAGGGTTTAGGGTTAGGGTTTAGGGTTTAGGGTTTAGGGTTTAGGGTTTAGGGTTTAGGGTTTAGGGTTTAGGGTTTAGGGTTTAGGGTTTAGGGCTTAGGGCTTTAGGGCTTTAGGGCTTTAGGGCTTAGGGCTTAGGGCTTAGGGTTTAGTCTGGGGGGGGCCTATAAGACTTGAACTTTACGGCTTTCAGAAGGACCCGGGGTAGGTTTCAGACCTATAAGACGTAAATTGTTACGGCTTTCTGAGGAGTATATAGGGACTAGGGCTGATTTGGGGCAATAAACAGAAAAGATCGAAAAGATATGCTCAAACCTACCCCTGCGACGTTGCCGCGCACTTCGAAGGGAAGCTTGTTGGTGAACATCTCGAACATGACCTGGGCAACAGACTGCTCAGGGTTTAGGGTTTAGGGTTGTCCAGTATCCTGGGGGAACTAAAGGTTAAACCTTAGGACTCTGTGCCTCAACCCTAAGGTTCAAAGGCTTACAATTTTTTCGACCTGGGCTCAGCATGCCTACCCTGCATCTGCCTTGACAAGGGCCCTCTAAAGCCCCCCCCCCCCCCAAAGCTAGGGGACTCTGGTGCTCAGTGTCTAAGCCCAGAGACCTCACCACCTGCAAGCGCAGGGAGGGTTTAGGGACAAGGACCCCCCCCCCCCAAACAGCCATCTCATAGTCAGAGGAGGTGCCACAGGAAACCGACGAACGCATAGGGTTACTTCCCACCTATATACCCCCAAACCTACTTGCTGGAGCCCTGGAACCCTAAACCCGAAACCCTAAACCCTAAACCCTAAACCCTAACCCCTCTGACCCCCGGGCAAAGACTCCAAGCCATGCGGCGCAGCCCATGCTCCAAACATCGCTCTTCGGCCCGCAACTGCCCGACCAGACCTGCTTAGGGGGTGGGTTTAGGGTTTAGGGTTTAGGGTTTAGGGTTTAGGGTTTAGGGTTTAGTGTTTAGGGTTTAGGGTTTAGGGTTTAGGATTTGGAGTGTTTGGAGACATCGGAGTGCCCACAGCGATGGCCTGTAGCCCCAAAAAAGTGGGTCGGCCTCATGGGTGTCTCCAGGTGTTTCCTACCATTGTAACAAGTCTCAGGGTCTTCTCCGGGAACTATCCCTTTGGGCGCAGAAAGCCCTAAAACCTCCCGACCCTCCTCAGACCAACGCCCTGCGACCTCCCCAATCCCTTTTTCCTGAGCCCTTAACATCCCAGAACCCTACACCCTTTCGCTTCAACCCTGTTCCCTAAACTCTAAAGCCCTAAGCCCTAAGCCCTAAGCCCTAAGCCCTAAGCCCTAAGCCCTAAGCCCTAAGCCCTAAACCCTAATCCAAATCCTAAAAACCCCAAGCCCTACATGCACTTGGAGAGCCTCGGGCGCCATTGTTGCCGGAGTGCCAGCAACTTTGGATCCTCTCAGACCGAAGATGCCCCGGGCGCAGATCCTGGGGGGATTTAGGGGTTTAGGGGTTTAGGGGGGTTTGGGGGTTTAGGGGGTTTAGGGGGGTTTAGGGGGCTTAGGGGCTTTGGGGGTTTAGGGGCTTTAGGGGTTTGGGGGTTTAAGGGTTTAGGGGTTTAGGGGTTTAGGGGTTTAGGGTTTAGGGGTGAACAAAGGATGGGTGTAGTACCCTGGCATCCCTACCCTTATCACGAGTTTGGGGTTACAGGGGTTAAACAAGGGCTTAGGGTCTGAGCTCGAGTATTTGTTGATGCCCACTACCCAGGCAGACAGTATGTGAGCCTCAGACGAAGTAAGCAAGGAAATGCCCATGCTGTGTACAAATCAGCGCAGGGGTGCGGAGTGTTGCGCCGGGGAGGGCCCTTGATGGCGCGTAGGCATGTGATGGCGCCTGCACGCGTGAGATGGCGCGTGGGCGGGTGCGTGCATGATGGCCCGTGCTTGCGCGCTCGCACAAGCGGCATTGATTCCGATGCCGCGTGTGTGCTGTGTGCAGCCAAGGCTCTCTGCAATTCCGAGGTCACAAATTACAATGTGTGGAAGCCGGCCGAACACCTGCACTCAGCAACGGGCACAGTACCAAATGAGGGTCGACCTAACATTCGACAGGAACCCTGAGGAGTACATCATGTTCGAGATCCTAGTGGATCTAATTCAATAGTGGAGACCAGTACCCTAAATGAATGCCCCAATGAAAACAGCCCATACACTCCAAACATTCCTAAGCCCTAAAGAGTTGGGCGAGTTGGGCTGTGCTCCTGGCTTCTCAGCCCCCCCCCCCCCCCAACTTGTTATTCTTGGTGCCCTATAGGATGAAACACCCTTTCTGCCGAAATCCCCTAAGCCCTTAGCCCTAAACCCCAAACCCTCAACCCTAAACCCTAAACCTTAAACCCTAAACCCTAACCCTAAACCTAAACCCTAAACCCTAAACCCTAAACCCCGAAGCCGTCAACTGGACAGGCCTTGCCGTTTTCCTTGGTGTCGTGCAAAAGCAGAAGATTCTGGCCCTTGAGGTCCTTGTGCACGACACCCTTGGAGTGAATGTACACCAGAGCCTGGGCCGGGTTTAGGGTTTGGGGTTTGGGGTTTAGGGTTCGGGTTTAGGGTTTAGGGTTTAGGGTTTAGGGTTTAGGGTTTAGGGTTTAGGGTTTAGGGTTTAGGGTTTAGGGTTTAGGGTTTAGGGTTTAGGGTTTTTCTCTCTAGGGTTTAGGGTTTAGGGTTTAGGGTTTAGGGTTTAGGGTTTAGGGTTTAGGGTTTAGGGTTTAGGGTTTAGGGTTTAGGGTTTAGGGTTTAGGGTTTAGGGTTTAGGGTTTAGGGTTTAGGGTTTAGGGTTTAGGGTTTAGGGTTTAGGGTTTAGGGTTTAGGGTTTAGGGTAAACAAATCTCGATGGGGCTGATGTGGGGGCGGGTTAGGGATTGGGGGGTGGGCGAATGAGATGCACGGTCTTGAGATTGGAAGGCACGCCAGAGAAAACTTGCAGACTTATAGACTTCATCAAAGCCCTAAGCACCCTGAACAACCCTAAGCCCTCAAGCTCAACTCGAAACCCTAAACTTTACAAGCCAAAGGCCCTAAATCCAAACCCTAAGCCCTGAACTTCAAAATCTAAACCCTATGAACCCTATGAACCCTATGAACCCTATGAACCCTATGAACCCTATAAACCCTATGAACCCTATAAACCCCACAAACCCTATAAACCCTCTAAACCCTGTAAACCCTATAAACCCTAAAAACCTGTCAACCCTGTCAACCCTATAAACCCTATAGGTAAGGTGGGGCATTCTTGAGGCAGCTTACAAACTACAACTAATGGGAACTCTTCAGGGGATCCTGCTTACCCTAAACCCTAAACCCTAAACCCTAAACCCTAAACCCTAAACCCTAAACCCTAAACCCTAAACCCTAAACCCTAAACCCTAAACCCTAAACCCTAAACCCTAAACCCTAAACCCTAAACCCTAAACCCTGTCCTGAGCCCGGCCCCGCCTGGAAACACTGCCTAATGCTAGTGGCTGCCCAGGCTTCCGGCAAGGCCTCTCCTGCGAGACTCTGGGTCAGAAGGTCTGGGGGCTTTTAGGGGAGGGTTTAGGGTTGAGGGTTGAGGGTTGAGGGTTGAGCTTTCAGGGTTTTTGAGGTTTTTTTTGGGGGCTTCAGGGTTTGCAGCGCGGACGAAGGGTTTAGGGGTTAGGGTTTGCCTGTGGGTGTTTGGGCCCCTACGCTCGGGACAATTGCGCGTAGCTGGCTTGTAGACCAATAGAACTTTGAGGACTCGACCAGCATCCTACAGCGAAAAATGAGAAGGACTCATGCAGGGTGTTGAGCTTAGGGTTTAGGGTTTAGAGTTAAAGCCATAAAACATCGGCTCCAGCAAGGGGGGCTTATCAGGCTTTGTTTCGACGAGGGTGGCGGCTAAGTAATGAACGCTAAGCCGGCGGAAGCCTCGTGCGGCCAGGCCTCTGCGGCCCCTGGTGGACTTTGGCGAGCAGCGTTTGAACACTAAGCCCTAAACTAAACCTCACATATTCAAACAGTCAAATTTCTGACTAGGTACCTAAAAACTCCGAACTCCATCTAGCAAACCCTTCCTTGCATCTGAACCCCAAAGCTGTACCCTAAACCCTAAACCCTAAACCCTAAACCCTATTGCCTGATGATGATGCTACGGGGTTTCGGGATGAAACCCGGTCCTTGCCGCCTGCCTTCTCTGACCACCTTGAGGAGCTCCCCTCCATCGCAGTGCTCCATGACCTCGAGGTTTAGGGTTTAGGGTTTAGGGTTTAGGGTTTTGGGATTATAGGGTTTATAGGGTTTAGGGTGTAGGGTTTAGGTTTTAAGGTTTTGGGATTACAGGGTTTAGGGTGTAGGGTTTAGGTTTAGGTTTTAGGAGGTTGGGGTTTAATCCGAGCATCTCTTTAATTAATACTCCCACATTTAAAGAAATTTGTTTCGCCGAGAAGCCCGCCGGAAGACTACTTTCCATTACGGTGGATTTCGTATGGGCCAATACCACCACATTTAGAGAAAATGTTTTCGGGGAGGTTCCAAAATCTGTCGGCAGGCTTCTTGTTTTGCTTGCTGGGCTGCGAAGCTACAGCACCTCAGGGATCTGCGGCCTATTGTTTTTAATAGAGAATCAATACAGGGCCACGGTCTTACTATTGCGGAACCCGGCCTTTCTTATCGCGGTGGGGGGGGGGGGGGGGCGGGGGGGGGGGGGGGGGGGGGGCGGGGGGGAGGGGGGGGGCGGGGGGGGGGGGGGGGGGGTGGGGGGGGGGGGGCGTGGGGGGGGGGCCCCCCCAATTAAACAGATGCTCGGATTAGGGCGTAGGGTTTAGGCCTTGAAACCCCACGATTCCCAAAAATCTCATCGATCTGAGGCGCTCGAAGTGTCGCTCAAGAATTGTGGGATGTTGGGCTTCGGAATGGGTTAGTAGGGCGTCTTTCGGGATGTTCCCCCTTATACAAACAGTCCGTAGTGAGGGATGATCGTAGGGGTTACTAGAATCCCTACTAAGGACTTGCTGGAAGAAGGGGGAACATCACAAGTTGAGGGTTGAGTAGGGCTTCTTCGTAGCCCAGTAATCATATTCCAATAAGGGCACCCCTTTTTTTGGGTTGGTTGCTTGATAAGGGGAACCGTGAACCACCGAAAAAAAACGGAAAAAGGTACCACTGGGCTACCAAGGATTAGTAGGCTTTCAGGACGGTGCTGCGAACCTGCCGGTCTGTGGTCTTAGGGCTTCAGGTTGTTTTTTCAGTTTAGGGCTTGGGGTGAGGTAAGGTCGTCTTCAAAACTCAGCTGACAGACCTATGACCCCCCAATCTCTGCAACCAGGCGGCAATGTTGATGCAATCACTCTCTTCATACCACGAGAATATCCGCAGTATATGTGGGTGATCCAAGTTCTGCCTGGGCTTGACATTCTGCTACCTGACAACTTCAACCACCAAACCGCCAGAACGCACAAGTAGCCAGAACGCTAAAAGAACTAAAACCCCAAACCCTAAACCCTAAACCCTAAACCCCAAGAAAACCTTCCTGGAGCGCCGCTGGGTGTCAAGATCTTTGCCTCCATTTTGAGGCGCTCGTCGTCCCAGCCGTCCGGTCGGACAACCGATTTCAGGACTTTGCTTTGCCCTGTGACCTTGTCCTGCACATCTTTTGTCGGCCAGTGGGGGTTTAGGGTTTAGGGTTTAGGGTTTAGGGTTTAGGGTTTAGGGTTTAGGGTTGAGAGTTTGGGGATTGGGCATCTTTGTCTGACTGTTGGTTAGTAGGGAAAGAGGTTGTGAGGTACCCTATATAATTGACCTTGTCCTGAACATCTTTGTTGGCCAGTGGGGAGAGGCGAACCTGTACTCCTTAGACCTTCAACCTAAACCCGAAACCCGAAACCCGAAACCCCAAACTCCAACAGTTCAAGGGTTGCATAACCCACCAACTACAGTAAGAGACAGTCCAAAGTACGAGGCGCGCCTTGAGGGGCGTAAAGGGTTCTGACCCCTGCGCGCCTAAAAAAGTAGCTCTAGGGTTGAGAGGGTTTAGGGATTATAGGGCTAAGGTTTGAGGGTTCAGGCTTACAGGTTTGGGGGTTTACAGGGTTACGGGTTAGGGGCTTATAGCTTTTAGAGCTTTGAGGCAACGCACGCCTCAGTGGCATCGAAAAATATCTTGCGCGAAAGTTGCCCCCCAAAAAAAGAGAAACAGGGGGCATTCCAGCAACCTCCACGCCCCTGATGCCCTAAATTTTCCGCAACATCCCCTGCATACCCTGAAACCTCATCAGCGCCAACACGTACGCGCAAACCCTTCTTGCGTCCTGAAACCCTAAACCCTAAACCCGAAACCCTCATCAACCCGAAGCTGCACTAAAGCCCCTGAAGCCAATCCTTGTCACCCTAAACCCTAAACCCTAAACCCTAAACCCTAAACCCTAAACCCTAAACCCTAAACCCTAAACCCTAAACCCTAAACCCTTCCGTCCTGAACTTTGTGCACCATACCGTACGCTCCTTGACCAAGCAACTCCTTGGAGCTCTTGCTGCGGGGGGGGGGGGGGGGCTTTGGGTTGAGAGCTCTATGAAGGCTGGTACTCTGTTTTCAAGGGAGGCCCCTCAGCCCTAAACCCTAAAACCGTAAAACCGTAAAACCGTAAAACCGTAAAACCCTAAAACCCTAAAACCCTAAAACCCTAAAAACCCTAAAAACCCTAAAAACCGTAAACCCTACAGGGCCATGTAGGTCATGCAGGGCCTGGTCAAACAAGAGTAGCTGGGTGGCTGGGCTGGGCTTAGGGCTCAGCAACTTATAGGGTTTCTGTATGGTTTAGGGGTTTAGGGGTTTAGGGGATTAGAGTTTATAGGAGTTTAGGGTTTAGGGTTTAGGGTCTCGGTTGCGTTGTGCGAGTGCTTAGCAGGGCTTCGCGGCCTCAAGTTCGGATGAAACCGGGCTCCAGAGACCCAAAGGGCTGCCAACAGACCCACCCTTTCCCGGACTTACAGAGGGTTTTGTGTTTTGGGCTTAGGATTTGGGAGGGTATAGGGTCTAGGGTTTAGGTTTTAGGGTTTAGAGGGGCAACGCCTAAGATTCCGAAGCAAGGTGCGCAATCGTCAAATTCGTCATCGGCATGGCCTTTGCCTCCATTGACCTGGGCGACGGAGGGACCCTCAGTGAGGCTGGAGGTGCATGGTTTGGGGTTTAGGGGATCAGGGTTTGGGTTTGGGGTTTAGGGTTTAGGGTTTGGGGTTTAGGGGATTAGGGTTTGGGTTAGGGTTTCGGATTCAGGGTTTAGGGTTTCGGGTCACATTGGGGGCTCTTTCGGGGCGACCTATAGGTGTATGAAGACTAAACAACACATCAACACAGCCTCCCCAAAACAAGGAGGGGGGGGGGGTCCCTTCAGAACTTCAGAAGCAAGTCCAGGCCCTACTGCGACGACACCATAAGATGCTGTTAAGCAGTCTGAGTCAGGGACTAAGGAACTCCGGAGTACCGCCGGTCCACACATGTCGGCCACCGTGGCCTTCTTGGCCCCTTTAAACATGATGGGACTGTCCAGCTTAGCTGGCCTTCCCAACAATACTGGAGCCTAGCAAGTGTACAAGGGGTCGACCCGGGGCACAGCCCCATGGTCAACCTTGAGCCGTCTAAGCTGAGACCCGGGTGCTGAGTGCAGCACATGCACGCGCGTTTCGTGGGGGTAGGGTTCCGATCTTGCGTGCGTCTGTGCGCAGCCTAGGGGTGACGCCGTACATCACCGCCACTTGCCCACTATGCTTGACTAGACCTTGCACGAGATCTCGTGAGGCAATGGGATAAGACATGACGCGCCCTAGCGTAGCGCTACCCTCACTGAAATCCAAGGAGCACCTCTGCACAAAGCACAGATTGCCAATGGTCAAGCAATTTAGCATGTGTTGTGCGGTGTTCTGGCATGTACTTCAACAGTCAATTGGTCAAAACAGCAACAGACTCTCTGCTTTGCACATACAGGTCCCATGGTAAGAGCACAGGGTTTCGGGTTTAGGGTCTAATTCGGGTTCAGGGTTTAGGGCATTGCTTGCAACTTGCAGGCGCTAAGAAATGCAGGCAGTGCGGCCGCAAACATCCGACTGAGCTCGTTCAGCTTTCAGCTTTAAGCGTTTTACAAGCCAATACTACTTACGGCTTCCCTGTATAGAGCCAACAAGGGAAAACAAAGCAAAACATATTCAGCCACAAACCAAGCACACCCTAAACCCTCGAAACCAAGCTCCGATGCATTCAATCCGGGCTCCCAGCCGAGCAGCTTTGGTTTGGGGGGGGGGGGGGGGGGGGGGGGGGGGGGGTTGGGGCCTAAACCCTGAACCCCTAAACCCACTGTCTGAAGGGTCTAGGGCTGAAGGTGGGTCGCTCTGCTCATACCTCCCCGTCCGTTAAGACTTTATCATTCGGCTGCAGAAGATGTCCGAAAGACGTTTATGAAGCCCGCAATCCGAACCCCCCCCCCCAAAAAAAAAAAAAAACAATCACATAGAAATACAATAGAATAAACAACATAAGATAAACAAACACGAAGACAAGAAGTTGAAAAACATAAAATAAAAACCATGACAGCAATGACAATACTAACAATAAAACACAAACAGAGGTTTGGGTTGCGAGGTCCCTGAACCCCCTAAAAGCACTCAGCCCATGAAGACCAAATCCCCTCAGCCCAACAGAAAGGTTTAGGGTTTAGGGTTTAGGGTTTAGGGTTTAGGGTTTAGGCTTTGGGGTGTAGGGGCCCGCCTAGGGCCGAAGAGGCTGCACAAGCAGCAAAGAAGCGCAATGCACAGCACGACCTTCAGGTTGGGTTTTTGCATTATATTATTTTTTTGGGCGGGAGGGGGGGTTAGGGTTTAGGGTTTAGGGTTTAGGGTTTAGGGTTTAGGGTTTAGGGTTTAGGGTTTAGGGTTTAGGGTTTAGGGTTTAGGGTTTAGGGTTTAGGGTTTATAAGAGTTCAGGGTTTGGGGTTTAGGGTGCTCCTGTGCTGTCCGGGACCCGAGGGTTTTGTCTCAAAGGAACGGGTGGGTCACTTCCGGGCGGATACACAGAACCCTAAACCCTAAACCCTAAACCCTAAACCCTAAACCCTAAACCGTGTTGCAGAAGGGTTTTGTCAAGGCGCAGCGAGGATGACAACCGTGTGCCGGCTCCACCTCAGGAGACTCAGGCGGAGCGTGGGGTTTAGGGTTTAGGGTTGAGGGTTTAGGGTTTAGGGTTGAGGGTTGAGGGTTGAGGGTTTAGGGCTTACGGTGTACTATCATCCCTAACATCCCCAAAGCCTACACCCTTACAAGTCCCAAAGCGCGCGGGAAAAGCACATGCTGCATCCGCGAAGCCCTGCAGCACCCTCAACAAACACAAACAACCCGTCTAGAAGCCCCCAAAATCAAAACAGACCCGGCAACAACACCAAACCGTAAACCCTAAACCCTAAAACCCGAAACCATAAATCCTGAACCCTCTTGAAGCCAGACCACCCAAAGGGGGAGACCGGATGTACTGGTTGGGATTTTCTAATAGGGTGTATTTAGGGTTTAGGGGTTTGGGTTGGTGTAAATTCGGCTTTTGCAGAAGCTGTGGTGTGAAACGAATAGGTCTTCATTCATTACCAGGATGGGCTAATAGGCCCTAAAATCCCCACAATCAACCGAACAAAGGACCATTTAAAGGGGCTACAGGCTCTAATAGCCCGCCCTGGTCAGGTTTGACGATTTTGTGCGCAGCAGATATCTCCCTAAACCCTAAACCCTAAACCCTAAACCCTAAACCCTAAACCCTAAACCCTCCAGACATGCCACGCGAATTGCTGGATCTGGCCGAAGAACTGGCCCACCCTTAGCGTGGCAGCCACGTGAGGGGGCTCTCTGCACTACCCACCTTGCTAGTAGCGCCCCCCCCCCCCCCCCCCCCAACCCCCTCCCTCCACCCAAAAAATCGCGTTTAGGGCCAAAAAGTTTAGGGTTTAGGATTTCGGCCCTAAACCCTAAACCCTAAACCCTAAACCCTAAACCCTAAACCCTAAACCCTAAACCCTAAACCCTAAACCCTAAACCCTAAACCCTAAACCCTAAACCCTACACCATCTTACCGTCATTCACCTTCTACACCCTCTTAACCCTCGAAGGGCTTTGCATGCGCAGCCAGCGCTGCCCCCTCGTTGCAGCTCACCGACTTGGAACATCGCCAGGTTTAGGGTTTCGGGTTTAGGGTTTGGGGTTTAGGATTGAGGGTTTAGGGTTTAGGGTTTGGGGTTTAGGGTTGAGGGTTTAGGGTTGAGGTTTAGAGGTTTAGGATGAGGTGGTGCCCGAAGACTGCGAAGCATGCAGTCCCCAAGACTCTGAAGTCCTCTTCGTCCGGGCTTAGTTTAGGGTATAGGGTTTAGGGTTTCGGGCTTAGGGTGGCCTTAGGGTTTCGGTAGCCTTCACCCTACACTCTAACATTGAGAACCCTGCGCCCACTCGAGAGATGCCACCCCCGACATGGCTGGATCCCCTAAACCCTAAACCCTAAACCCTAAATCGCTGCCAGATGACCCACTCCAAAGGCCAAATG